TGTCCCTGTCCCTGTCCCTGTTCCTTCCCGTGGGGCCTGTGCAGGGTGGGGAGGGCCGCGCCGCGGGTGCAGGTCCGAGGGGGTGTAGTGGTAGAAGTGACGGAGCTTCGGGCTCGACGCGATCATGGCGTCCGGCAGCGGCCCCAAAATCGCGGTGAAGAGGGCGATCATGTCGGCCTCGTTCTTTCCGGGGAAGAGCGGGATGCCGGTGTGGAGCTCCACCAACATACAGCCCAGGGACCAGCGATCAATCGCCGTGGTGTACCCCAGCTCGAGGATCACCTCCGGGCTGCGGTAAAAACGCGATTGGATGTATTTCGGCATGAAATTGTTCGTGTTCACGGGCCCCTCCGCGGCGTTGGGTCCAGGCATCCGGCCCATGGCGGCGGGTTCGGGATAGGCCGTCCCGTCCGGATCCGCTTCGCCGCCGCTGTCGTTGTCAAGCGCGGGATTTTTTCCCTTTTTGACGTCCGTGGAGGGGTGATTCGGGGGGGAGGTCCCTCCCTCCCCCACAAGTGAGGGATCGGGGCTCGCATTTAATTCCCTTTGCTCGCCCCCTCCTCCCCCATAGCGTGAGGGGAGGGTGGAGGTTGAGGGTATCGAATATGCAAGAGACATAGTCGTTGTTTGGGTGGTGGAATGCTTTGGAAGGTAGTCCACACGAGGGGGCGGGAGTTCCCAATGAAGGGTTTGCTGATAGCATGAGGAGCCGAAATCGATCACGCGGATCCCACTCCGATTTCGATCCCTCAAAACCACGTTTTCCGGCTTTAAATCACAGTGAATAATCGGTGGGTCGTGCTGCTCAAGCTGCAAAAGCACCTGCAGGAGCTGAAAGGCGAATTTCCGAGTGAGGTCTAGACTCATCCCGTTGAACTTCGTGCATCGAATAAGTTGATAGAGATTAAAGCTCAGCAGGTCAAGCACGAGGACAATGTGGCCTCGCCAGATGAAGGCTTTACGAAGCTGGACGATAAGGTTCGCGAGGGCTGGGTTTTTATTTAAATAAGCCACAATCTCCGCCTCAAGGCAGCCCTGCGCGCGAAAATATGTTCCACTACGGATGATCTTTAACGCCACGGGCTCCTGATATTTCTCATCGCAGCATCGCAGGACGATCCCAAAGCTTCCTTTTCCAAGAAGCTCCTGTACGGTATACCGCCCCGCGATTTCCTCGCCGATAATAGAGATATAATGCCCCTCTCGGTCATCATAGCCTTCGTTAGACTTTGTTCCTAGCAGGCTTCGCCGGCGCTCATTGCAGAACTTCAGGTTAATTTTTTTATAAACAACCATGATGTGGGAGGAAAGTCCCACCGCAGGGCGCTCTAGTGGCTGCCGCGCAACCGAAACCCGCGCGAGCTCGTCCTTTTCCCTCATCCCGCTCTTTTCCTTCTCCACGAGCGGCGGTATGCCTCCGCCATTTATTCCTTCTCCTCCCGTATTGCTATTACTTGCCAAATTACTACTGCTTCCCATGCCGTAATGCGCACTTGCACTACGAAAAGGGACCTGATGGTGCGTGGTTTGCGGAAAAAGAGGGGTTTTATGCGTCCGAGGGCCCTCCCCGAGGGCTTTTCGGATGGGAGAGGTGCTCGGCGATTTATTATACCGCGTGGGGGGGGAGGTGGAGGTGGCCGAGATGGTGCTCGGCGAGGGCGCCCCACCTGTGCGCGTGAAAGGGCTCGAACTCGTCACCCCGGCTTCTCCTCCAGCACTATTGTTAGGGTTATTAGGATTAGGATTACTATTGGAATGTCCTCTCAAGTCCATCGCGAAAAAATTAATCTAACTCTAAAATATTGTAAGTAGCACTATACCACAGACAAAAAAGGAATAAATAAATATTATATAAATATATATATTTATAAAAATATATTAAACACCAACAACCTATGTGATTATACAGAAATACTCTTGTTCTGTGTATTGACTAATCCAAATGTATCTAAATTTATTTGTTTTGTTGTTGTGTTTGCATACAATGGACCCTGGAGGGCGGTAAAAAAAACTTAAAACAGAATATAGAGAGAATGAAAGAAGACGTGAAACAATATTATACAGTGGGCGAATCAAAAAAAAAGAAAATGTAGTATCGCGATTATTAAAAAAGTCAGCAATGAATAGGTTTGTAAGGGTTGTAATATCCCAAGATGAATAATCAGCTTTTGACAAAAAGCCAATACGAGAAGACACACAGACACACCGCTTTATAAGGCCATCCCTATAAAATGAGAAGATACTAATTAGCATATAAGCACCAACTCAAAATTCCCTAAGAAAGGGAAAAAAAAGGAAACGTCAAATATTATAAAGTTAATGTGTTTAAATTAGAACAATGATAACTTGATATACCCTCAGTGCAACTTGTTATGCTATTTGTAGGAAGGACTCTCCTCCCTTACACACTCACACATACAAATAAACAAACAATATATATATATGTAATAATAATAACAAAAATATTTTCCAACCAGTCGAGAGTGAAAAACAAATAATGATATAAAGAGAGATTGATAAGTCCGAGAGCACACTTTTGGTTAGAAAAAGTGGTGTATGAATATATATGCGAAGGTGGGTTCATACCTATAGATATATCATCAGAATAAATTATTCCATCCACAGTTTATGGTCTATTTTGAGCCTGTACAAAATGTTTTCGACACTATGATGCCATTAACATGTGAAGAAATAGGTTACTTTTCAATAATATAATATATATATATATATATATATATTATATCAAATTGTTTATTAGAAATGCGTAAGCATCAAAAACTCAAAAGAAGTTTCGAAAGTAGGATAGTCAAGAAACTCCCCTTTGCCCTAAAATCATATGCACTTTGTTTCTAAACGATGTGGAAAGAATTCTACTCATTAACGATTCAAGCTTCGCCCGCCTTTTTTGCACATTACTCGTTGTAAAACCTCCTCTGCTCACGTTGATCTTCTTTCATCTTTTCCGAACGCATTTGCGCGGCGTATACAAGGCTAAACCGCATACGATTTTTTTCGTCTTCCTCTTTTTTCTTTCCATTTTCTGTATTGGTTAATCGCGCAATGGATTGTTCCGCTTTGATTTGTGCAAGCCTCTGAATGGTGGGATCTGCAGCTGAAATTTCCACATCTTCGCCATACAACAAGCGCTTTAACAAAGCCGTTTCCGAATTATCTTCCTTTTCTTCATTTCCATTATGGAGAGGGTCACCGCTAGGATTATGAGTGCCGTTCTGAACATTGTCGGACCCTGCTGCTCCCACACCTTCCTTCACGCAAAGCAGATGCCCAAATTCCTTCTCCCTTGCGTTTGGCGGATCCTCTGGAGTTGGGCTTGGGATCTCGCTACACGTGGCGGCGCTATTGATCTCATCCATTTCCCGATAACTACCACCACCACTAGAGGTATTATTATTAGTATTAGTATTATGGGTATTTGTGTTATTACTAGCATGATCTTCCGGATTATGGATAAGCGGGGTCGGATCCTCGGCGAGCTCAACGGCTGCAAGCACGTACCGTTTCTCGTAGGGGATCCTCTCCGCGTATTCGGGGCCGAGCAAAAGCCCCTCCGCGAGGCCGTCTGGCGAGTGCACAAAACGCTGGAGGTTTGGATTTTTTAGCACCTTATCCGCGATGTATGTTTTCGCGAGCTGGCGGCGCAGTATCATTTCCTCCACCGTCCCTCCGGTGAGTAAGCGATAAATACAAACCTCTCGCGTCTGCCCGATCCGCCAGGCGCGCTCACGCGCCTGCAGGTCGGTCGTCGGGTTCCAATCCGGGTCGAAAATCACGACGCGATCGGCGCCGACGAGGTTCACCCCCACCCCCCCCACCCTTGTCGTCAACAACGCAAGGAAGATCTCGGAGTCCTCGTTAAAGCGATCCATCAGGACCTGGCGATGATCTCGGCTTGTTAGGCCGTCCATGCGGATGTACACATATCCCGTCTGTTCGCAAAAATTCTCAATTAGATCGAGCATCCGCCGAGTTTGCGAGAAGACAAGCGCGCGGTGGCCGAATCGCCGCCATTCCGCGAGCATTTCGCCCAACACCCGCAGCTTCGCCCCGCCGGCGAGGTCGACAGGGCGATTACTCCGCAGCCCCCCCCGTCGTTGTCCGAGCTCGACGTGATTGCAGATCTGGCGAAGCTGCGTGAGTAGGCGAAAACGCTCGAGGCGATGCGACTTTTCATCCTTATGAGACTCCCA